AGAGCCAGTGCGGTGTAGCGGTTAAGATGTTGAACTCGGTTTAAGAAGACCCTGAGCTAGGTTGAAATTCACCCTCAACTGCAGAACCATATTGGGTGGCTTTCAGCCTGTCACTCTTTCAGCCCAACCTCCCTCACAAAGTTGTCTTGTGAACTCCTGCAGAAAGGCAGGTAATAAACCCCCAGCCATAGGATTCAACAATATAGACCATGCTAAGGGATGTCAGGCCTGTGGAGCCAATTCCAAACACCAACCCCATTTAGCTGTTTCCTCAGCTGTCCCAAAAGGGGAAACAGGCCGAGCGATCCACCCCACTGAAAGACCAACTTCTCCTTATCCAAACTATATCCAGGTGGTCATGATTTAAAATCTAGTTCTTAACTTGAAGCGCTGGCGTCTGAGTTTGCTTTTTCTTTCTCCTGTGTCATGCCTTTTAAATTGCTGGTGGTATGCTGGAATCATTCCTACCCCCCAACCCCCCACTGATTTATATGTAAGCCATCTGTGAGCCATTTTGACTGAAGAATGAAAAAAACACTAGAAATAAATGCATAAATGATCTGACAGGACAGTGGGGGAGGATGGGTTAATCCCCCACTTCTCTGTGTTATCTGGGAAAATTCCTTTCTTTCTTTTCTTTTTCTTTTCTCGCTTTTGTTGTTCCGAAGGAAAGAAATAAACGAACTGCCTTGCCCAGGCCCCTTGCTTTTATTGCTGTCTCTTCATACTACATGCTTAACTTGATTTTCTGGGTTCATAAAATCCATTGAACAATAACCTAACCAGACAGGCTAGATTCTCACAACATGCTAAGCCAAAAAAAATCTTAGCAAGATTAATATTAACCAATCTTGGCATTTTATGTAAGTATATCTGCCTGGTTATGAGTGTTATGTGAACACACTGTTGAGGTGCCAAACTTTTCAGCTGAGCAACCCAGTCTAATACTGGATTGTGCATTGGGCCTTTCATATTATACACTGAACATATACACAAAAACAGTGCATACTTCAACAGAGTCATAGGAATGGGGGAGAAATTTTCTCCCATATTTCCCGAATGACCTTGCTGAAAAATTTGTTTCTACAGCAGCTGAAGGCCTATATCTCTTGAAAGCACCAGGTTAACGGATTGATTTAAGAAGCAGTTATTCAGAAAAAAATAATAAAGCACAAGACACACCACTGCATTTTCAAGAGTCATGTATATTACATCTACTGAATGTTCTATGTGCTTTGACAGAAAATTGGACATTTTTTTTTCTATGCAACTGCACTAGAATCTTAATTTCCCTTCAACTTCTGAAACTTGGTCACAAACCCATTGAGCTCTGCATCAGACAAAGCTGACCCTTGTAACCTACAACAGAAGTGTTTTTTCATCAGTCTATACTAACTTCCACCTACGTACCCCAGATTAAATGGCTTCTGGCACATTGATATCATCCATTGAATGCATGCCAAATTTGGAAAGTGAATTGCAGCTACTCACCGTGGTTATAGTCTGGTCCTGTCAAAACTGTCCTTTCAACATATGGCAACAGGGGTGCCCATGGTGGGAATCAAAAAGGCCAAAACGGCAGCCATGATCACATAATCAAAGCCCCCTCTCCCATTTACATCTGCCATACACAATGTACATAAACAAAGGCCAGGACTTTGATTATATGCTCATGGCCACCATTTTTACCTTTTCCACCCTCCCTGTGGACAAGGCCAACTAAAGTTTTGATACAGCATGAAACTGAGCGCTGGCTAAATACAGTTGCCACAGGCAAACACTGTCAGAGCAGAATGGTCCAGGGAAAATGTCTTATTGAAACAAGGAAAGGTAGTGCATTTTCACATTTGTACAGGACTCTATTTCATAGGACAAATCCAGTCTTTCTCTTCTACCATCACAAATCAAAAGTTATGTATGACCCCCTTGCAGGTTTGTTTTATCTCTTTGTGTTCAATACAGCAATCACCATTGTAACAGCACAGTGTACTAATCCATATGAATGAGCTTTAATGACTGTAGGGCCAGTACAGTCAGGCATTTAAAGAGCTGGCTATGATGCGGAAGGCCCAAATTCAAATATCCACTTAATCATAACACTCACTAAGGAACTGAGGTTCCCCATCACAGGATCCATGTGAGAAAAGAATGTGCAGGAAAATCAAGCATGGACAAATTGATGGAATAATGACCACATAAACTTTCTAGTTGCTTATGTGTACCTTCAAGAAATGGTGACATTTTCCTCATTTTCCCCCCTCATCTACTTTTCCTTTGGGGTTGTGCTTTTTAGATCACAAACCTCTAGGCTGGACCATTTTCCTTTTTACTGAAGCCAGACAAAATGTTTTACTAACTAACTAAATAAATGTATGTTTTATTTTGTAAGGGAAGAAATAGAGTTCTAGAAGTTGCCCTTTTCCAGTGATTCTGGATGTGTCAGGCTTGTTTACCTGCCCCCATCACCTAAAATTGTGATTCCTCCAAGGCAGGCTGGCAGGCAGACCTCCAAAGCCTTAGAAACCAAACAAAATAAAGTTTCTACATGATGTTGGCCTCAAAATGGCATCAAACCTCAAGCCTGACAGAAACAGAAAGGGGATCCCATCTGGTAGCTTAGCCCTGTGTATACCCCAAAACCCTTTGTTGCAACTGCCAAGGAAACCTCATTGTGGTTTGCAAAGTGTCACTTTAAAGGTGACAGTAGGAGAAAATTATTCAATAGGTGACTTGAAAGAAATCATATTGAGCATATATTTGATTTCAATTATATTTAAATCAACTTTCATTTTTATCCTGGCCTCACCCGCCCATTTTATAGGGTATTTTCTGGCATGCTACTCCAAGAGCAATGTGCTTAATTCAGAAATGGAAAGGAAAATTAAAGGAAAACACACTACAGTCAATGATGTAATGCAAGGAAACCACAAGAAATGAACACATGCTAGAGTGTTCCTCATCTGTGTGCAGAAATGCAACATTACAGTTGAGCATGTTCCACATTTTCCCTTCAACAAGAACAATCCAAAGGTGTAACATATTAGTTGATGATCTGACTTTTAGAAAAACAATTATAACAATACCTTCTTCCTACAGCAGAGCAGCTCTTCCTTTGGCCAATAGAGCTCAAAGTTCTGTTTTACCATCAGAGCCATCTTCATATCACTATATATGTTATTGTTTATAGCACTATCTGTAAACCTGAAATCCTACAAAGTTACATTCCCTGTTGCAGAATCCCCCAAATCATCTAAATGGTTCAGAAGCAGGACTTCCAGGGAAGAAATTATGAACTGAAGATGGCTCCACTAAAAGCAAAGCTCATGACTGCAGTGGAATGAAGAACCGGCAAGTAGACTGGTTCTTTGTAATTCCTCTCCAGACAAGGAGAGGACTTGAGATCACCCATAAGTGTTCCATACAATTGCTCCTCATGAGGAGCCCACAAGACAGTGGTCTTTGGCAGGTTTAGAGCTCTGGGAGACAAGGGAATAGCCATCTTGCTTAAACTGTGGTCATTGCCTTTGAAAGGACACTATGTTTGCATACTTCCTTTTCTAATCACTTTAGGAAATGGCTTGTTAACTGCTTTTCAGCTATTAGGAACCTTTGGGTCGACAAGTTTTACAGGACCAGGTGAGTTTCCTTCAATCCTTAGCAAAAGAAGTTTTAAATACAAGTTTAAGGACTTAAACAAAATTATTTTGAAATAAACACCAAAAGGGTGATTAGAACTTTGATTTTAGAAAGTTACAAATGGAATAAGGGTCCAGATGGATTTGAAATAAGATTTTGGAATTAATTATAAGAATCTTTCCCTTGGGAAAATGCTTTTGTTTTGAATTCTGTTTTAAAAAAAACATGATAGGATGAGACTTTGAAGGTTGTACACTAGAGGGAACCAGAAAGAACTAAAGATTACAATTAAAGGAGAAGAAAATTTAAATTTGACTTACTAATACAGAATGGAACAAAATATTTTAACATTTGACATATTGAAGG